ATTGGACAATTCAAGAAAATCACTGTATTTCCAAGTTTGCTCCTGAAAGAGCCGATACTTTTCTTTTGAGGAATATGTTGGATTCCAGTCTAAAAGCTTGTTGTGTTGTTTTTTTCTCAAATATAAATCAATCAAAAATTTTGTTGACCAAATCATTATAGAATCATTTCCTGGATCCCCAAAAAACTAGCTACTATTTATTTTTAATTAAATTAATCGGAATTATTTCAGGTAAGGAGGATATGCCATCGTTTGACGATCATTTTCTTCCAAAACCAAGGAGCAAAACATGGAAGACATTCATTCATTCACAAATATATATATATATATATATATATATATATATATATTATTTATTTATTTATTTATGTAGTTATATAGTATTTTGTTCCATATGGTTCAGATCCAAACCAGAATTATCAACCACCAGCACTGCAGTTTGATGGAGAGAATTTCACAGGCTCAAGAAGTGGATGAATGAATATATTGAATGGTTCTCATCCATCGAATGGTTCTCATCCATCCCTGTGGAAGGCTCGTTCGTTCCAGGCATAAAGGAAAAACAGTTTCTGGAACGAGATGTCGTCACTCGTGACGACATCTCTGACGTGAGCCCCTGGCATTTAAGTAGCACCCCCATTCTTAAATGCATTTCCTATTTTGGATTTGGTCAGCATTAAACTCATTTCCAGTCCTTCCCTTCTCTTTCATGCAGTGTCAGGGGTTTTCCTTTGTCGGGCTATGGAACGTTTATATAGGTTTTGGTAACGATTAAATAGGAAACGAAAATAAATTAAGAATTTCAAAAATTGCCAAGGAAAATGACGATGGCGGGACAGGAGAAACTCGAAATAGCCCCCCCCCCCCCGGTCAGAGGAGGACGACGAGTATTGCTGAAGGTTTAGATCCAGGGCTATCAGGCCTCTTTGTCCATAGCTACTGCAGGAACCTATGCCGTGAATCCAGAGCTGCACAGAATCCAAGTCTGGAGCTCAGCTTTCGCGTTTTCTAATTATAGATTTTTTCTTATTTTTCTAAACTCTCAGACAAGAATTGCGAGAATCTGACGTGCGAATACTGCTCCGAGGTTTGTCGTCCCTCTCGGATCCAAATCCAACGAACTTCGAAGAATGCTGGTGCTCGCTCAAAGTTACGTCGAACCTTGACCGCCTTCTTGCGCCATTTGCGGCAGGGCATTTGGCTCCTCCTGGAGCGAAAATCCACCGCATCACGCTGGCAACGAGGGCGATTCCATTGCGAGGGCTGGCGCTGATCAGTTAGAAACGATCGCGATGCAGCTCAACACAACGAGATATTCCTCTGTGCCACCTTCCCGGGAAGACATACTTAGCAACGCGAACGCAGGCTGTTGTAATTTATGATATAAACTATTGCCGAATTGTAAAGAATTGATTACGATCTTTGACCGAAGGCGCATACTTCGAGTATGCAAGCTTAGACTTCGCTGCCCGAGGTATGGTCTATCCTGTTCCACTGCGGCTCAGTTAGTTCATTGCACATGCACAAGAAGCGTCGTTTTAATGTCGGGTGGTTTGCAAACTTCGCATTGCAACCGTCAACAGCTAGCTTATTTGAATGTCTCTTTCAAAAAAGAATAAGGTTTCCAGGAGCCATCTCTAGAACAGCAACTGCAAACAATTTTGTGAACAATCAGTCGAACTGATCAATAGAGAAGGCCTTCCTCAAAGTATGCTGGTAGCTTTCAATATAGTGGAGGTATTCAAGAGCCAACTTCGAAAAATTGCAACTTAGAATGCTAAAAGAGAGAAAACTATTCGTTACTATTATTATCGTATTACTGCTTCAAATGATCAAAATCGGTTTGAGCTTGAAGTGCTAAACATTCACAATTTACATAGTATTTAAGATCTTAATTTTGCTTAAAACTGCGTGATTATATAGAATTGGCTTGAAATGAATTAAAATTAACAAAATTCAATAGTATATTTTGCATGACAATATATTGATTAAGCAAAAAAATATTATGTAATGATAATGGCTGCATTTTTTAAAAGAAATCAAAAACATTTCAATTTTTAATTTTTAACTTCAGAGAAAGTAGAATAAATTACATTATAAAAATAAAAAATAAAAAAATAAAAACTAGCAAAAACCAAAAAAGTCATAGAAATATGTTTCTTAAAGAATATATTCAATCTTATTTATATTACATATTTTTAAATCCATAAATTAGAGATATCTCAAACTATTGAAAAATAATTAAATTTACTCAAGCAGTTGTTTTATATAGTCATCTAAAAAAGCTCAATATAAGTGAGGATCCTATTTCTTTCAATACATATTCATAACAATCCATAGGTTATCCATAGAATTTGTGTGTATTGTGATCCCCATTATCAACATTTTGGGTAATTTAAATTTAAAAAATCAAATCAAATCGAATCAACACAAAGAGCAATAATTCACAAAGCCAATCATGATAACAACAAAATTCATTTCAAAGCAACTTTGAATAGTTATGCATTGATTTTTCTTTGATAAAATTTTATTATTTTTTTCTCATAGTATAACATTAGATATTAGCAAAACTTACATTTTTAGTTTGTCATAAAAGCAGCAAAATTGGTTGGAATAAAAATAAATTCTCACAATTTTAAATAAGAAAACGAAAAACCATAATTACAAAAGACTTATATTAAGTGTATAATAATTACTGAGTTATTGTATTAAGCGTAATAATTTTAATTTATTACTTTTATCCTTTTGTTTTTCCCCTTAAAGGTATATGTTTCCTATCTTGTTAACTTGATGTTAATAACAATAATAATTAGTAATGAACCAAACTCTCTTTTTAACAAGTCTCATTCAAAGAAGGTGGAAAATGTCATTAAGATCTGGTTTCCAACAATATCAGTAATCACGGTAGAGAATGCCACATTTTTGTATCGAGATAAATGATCTTTGATGGACACTAATATCAAGGGCATCAAGCAATCTTTTTAAAGGAGACCACTTTTTTAAAGCACTAAGATACTCAAATTTGACTGAATTATTTGTTGATTGATTGATTAATAATAATGCATGGGTATGTGTGTAAATCATAAGGTGTGCTTTTGTAGGGTTCAATTAAATGTCATAGAAAAGTTGTGAACATTCTTTAGCAAACAAATATACATATATATATATATATATACATACATATGTGTGTGTGTAAATATGTACATAAGGTTAATGGAAGCATTCTTAAAGTAAAGTTTTTGAAAAAAATATTAAACACCTTATATTGTAACTACCAAAAATATTATAAGCCTAATATTTTCAAATCTTGTTATATATTTGACATACTATTATAAAAATTTATGTAAATTCCCACATATGCAAATATATATATATATATATATATATATATTTAATTAAGAAGAGGAAGGAGAAAAATAAATGAAAGAAAAAAAAGGTGCCACTCAAGCATCTACCTTTTGCTTATAATGGGTGCTCAATTGCCCATCTCATAATGAAAAATAATGTATTGTGTTTTGGTACTTGCCCTTGTAGCATGACAATCATAAGGCCTCCATATTTTGTTAATTTTGTAAAAGGCTCTTCAATAAATAGGTTAAGTTGGGTATTGATAACCATGTGGTTGGTGGACCATAATATTTGGCCACCTTATCATATAAAATAGCAACACTCACTTCTTGTACTAGCTCATGCACACATTGGTTAATGAATAAACAAGGACCATCCATACTCATTCTACCATTTGTGCTATATGTATAATTTTGATAAAGGAGGATATCTTTAATGTATTAGATCCATTTGAGTAGAATAGCAAACCCTTAAACAAGTCACAAGAGATTTTGGTAGTAGGTTTAAGTTTGTTTACATTTGAATGTGGTGTAGTGTGTGCAACCAATGCTTTGTTTTTTTAAAAGAGAGGATGAAAATAATTGTTCCCAAATTGTGTAACCAGCAACTTACTTACAGAACTCAGTTCAGAACTACTTATTTAGAAAAAGTGAAAATGACAAAATTTTCATTAGTATAAATACAATATTTCATCAAAATCAAATCATTCAATCATTCAAGTGGGTGCAAGTGGCTATTTAAATGTTTACAATAATTGAAACAAAATGTCTCAACAGATTCAGGTGTCTACTCTGAAGGATTTGGGTTATGAGTTTTTCAAGTTGGTCAACTTGATTTTATATATATATATATATATATATATATTAAATATTTGTGGGGCAGGATTTTGCTCAATAAAGGTGACCCATGTTTGATTGGAAGGAATATCTCGAGGCTTGTTATTCTGTTCATAATCTTCATCACAAAAGCTATTTTTATTTATTTTTATTTATGTTTATTACTCATGGGAATTTGATACTATGTGAATTTTGGCTCTATGGACAATTCAAAACTATTTTTGAGAACTCATTGATCATTTTATTAGGTTGTAACATTTTCAAAACTTTTCAGATCATTCATTCCTTAAACTTTTAACCCTTCTTTCTCATAAGTAAAAAAAGTTTATTTATTTCTTCAAATCCAAAGCTTATTGTAAACATGCAGGCATAATAATTCTACATGTACCAGCTTTGTAGCATGCAAACTGGCATGGGCTTATAGCATTTTGGGGGTGGGGACCTTTTGTTTTTAAGTATTTTGTGTGTGGGTTAAGGAGGGAGTAGTGACTTTGTGAGAAGTATTTTTAAGAGAAATGGAACAATAAAAGATAACAGTATCAATGTTAATTTATTGAAATTTCTTACTAAAAGGAAGGAATAGGAATGGGAATAGGAATAAGAATGGAAAGGCTTTAGTGGGTCCCTTGCTTCCTCTTGATGAGATGGGGATGTGGGAATGGGTAGGATTTTGTGGAGATTTGAGGAGCATCATCTCCTCCAATCCCTCACTCCATATATATATATATATATATAGATATAATAAAATGAATGATATACACACAGACATACTTTATGTGAATGTTCTCACTTCTATTTCTTCCTTGTTGCTGTTGCTGCTTGAATTTGATGTGGGGGGGGGGGGAGGTTTGTCAAAGTTCAAAAGGGTTTGACAAAAGAAACATAAGAAAAACCCACTCATTCTCAACAGCAGCAGCAGCTGCTTCGTTCCTACCTTCCTTCCTTTTCCATCTCCCTTTCTTTCATTCTTACTTTACTCTCTTTCAGTCTCTCTTTTCCACATACATGATCTTTACACATGTGTGTCTGCAATGTGTGTGTATGTGTGTGTGTGTGTGTAATTGCAGGTAGCGTTGGAGTGGGCACAGTGAGTTGGGTTATGGAGCGGGTAAGGTGGGTGGATGCTGTGAAGAGAGGGTGCCATGGAAACAACATCCTGTAGAGCTGAGCCTTGCCCTTTGAATGGAGGAGAGGGAGGTGGAAGTCACCAAAGGAGAAGAGAATAGACAGGCAAGGAGAGGCAAAGACAAAAGGGTGCAGAGATGGGGGATGGGGTGGGGCTTTAATTGTGGTTTTGAGGAGAGGAGAGGAGAGGAGTTGAGAGAAGAGTGGTGGTGGATTAGTGCTTGAAAATTCTTGTGCCATCCCAGACCCTGCACTCAAACCTTTCAAGTGTGTGTGTGTGTTTGTGTGAGTGTGTGTGTGTGTATGTGGAGGGAGCCATGAGGGGCTCTATGGTGTAATTGTTGGCTGATAGAAGTGCCCAATTCTCCAAATCAGGTTTACAAGAAGACAATCACTGGTGGTGCTGCTGGGAGTGCAGCTTTATTATTACTCTACACTGCTGCACAAAAGTTCTAGTCAGAGAGAAGTTGTAGAGACATACAGAGAAAGTTCTATTGTGGAGTATTCTCTCTTCACGAACACATACACTTACACTTGGAGAGGGAAGAGATTTTTATTGTATTTTATTTTATGTTTTCTTTGTTGCTAGTTTTCTTTTTTCTTCTTCTGCTTGTGTGTTTCATGAAACTGGCAACACAGGTAGTTGTTTTAAAATATGTGTATGTGTGTTTTTTTATGTTTTGGTCAGTGAGCTGAGCTGTGCAGCATCTACTGGGTTTCTGAGAGGCAGTCCTTCATGTAGTAATGGAGATAGTTGCCCAGAAATGGGAAAACTGAACATAGAAGTAAAACAAAAATGAAATGAAGGAAAGTAGAACATCCAATAAGGAAGCAATATATGTTACTTCTGCCTTAAGATTATCTAAATTTTTGTGTACTGCTGTGGCTCAGAAGGAGCATTATTACTATTATTAATATTGTCATCATGACTGTATAATTATATTGCTCACATCATCACATTGATTTTGTGCTTTCAGGGAGTAAAAACGGTTGAAGTCCTCAAGGAATGGGAGAAGAAGCAGAAAAGGGTTGATTCTCAAGACATGATGAACAAGCTCAAGATCTGATATGTTACTAGGATTTGATGAGCAAAGCATGTACCCACATAAGCAGCTCAGCAAGTTATCTACAATTACAGTTCCAGAGAACATGATGAATGCAGCTTATTTCAAAAATTAGTGTGCAGGATTAAAAACGTGGGTCTGATTGTGTCAGGTGCCTAGTTTTGCTGGCTGCAGGAATTGGACATCATTTGATTGTCTCATTTAAGACTGACTAAATATCTCATTGGCCGAGTCCAAAGGTACGTCGTGTTTGAAGCCGAAATCGATGATTCTGTAATGAGAGCATGGTCAAGTGTTTCTACAAGTGAACATGCAGGCTCAGATAACATGATTTCTGACGAGTGAGCACCAAACCAGGTATTATTATTGTTCTTACTTCTGCTGTGTGAGGGAGAAAGAACGAGTTTTCTCATTGGTCTAACGTTGCATGCTCGAGCCTGGTACTGGCGCCGAAACGAGGTCGTTGCTGCTCAAATCTCCCACTTAAACCCCCCAAATCTCTGGTCTGCATCCTTGATTCTATTGTCTTTTTCCTTTTGCTTGTTGGTGGTGGTGGGAAAGGAGAGTTTTTTTTGCTTGTAAGTGGGTGTGAGTATTTGTCTCTTGTAGCTGACTACCTGAATCATGTTGAAGTGGTGATCTTGGAGAGCAGATTTAGCCTTAGGGTGATAATGGGTGAAGGCCAAGATGAGCCCAGAGTAACCTGCTGATGAGCACTACAGCAGACCTGTACATGACACATTTATTTTGCTAGGCGTTGGAGTTGTACTCCTGGTAAACCGTGGCTGGCATGGCTGCCTCCCACCTCTTTAATGATGAGTTGTGGCAATGGCTTTCTACTCTCGCTCTCTCTCTCTCTATTCTCCTACTGTCGATGGACACTATATATACTCTCACTGTCCGGCCCTTGTCTTCCATTGTTCCATGGATGCAGCAGTTAAACTTGCACAGCTCTGAGTACTCTTCGTTTGTTTAGGTTTCAATATCTTCAGCTGTGGGTCCGTCACCTAGACTCGTCGCGTGTTTCCATAAGCCAGAGCCACTGATTCCGAGCATTAAGAATGGCTGATATGTGCTCTCAGACTGCTATTTCTCGTTGTGAAGGTGTATGATTTCATTTTTTTGTTTCCTTGTCTTTTTGTTTGCGTCTCAGTAGAAACAGTCTGTCGTTGAGATAATAAAATTGTCTACGTTCAAGACATGACCGTTTCATGATAGAAACCAGTGATGAATTCGTACCTAATGCAGATACCATCTAAGAAAATTCTGGTTAATGATATGCTTAATTCCGTAGGGAAGTCATGGAGAGGTTCGTGTGTGTCCGCAAAGGATCGCCACAGGGTGGCTTTTGCATTCCGTGAGTCCTGTCTGACAAAATGATCTACTTGAGGATTGAATGCAGTGATTTGAAGGGAGAGAATTGCAAAGTGCTGTATTGGTGATCGAAGTATTTACAAGGCTGGCAGTCGCATTGGGAATGTCCATGACGATCTGTCAACATTTCAGGTTATGTTGACGGGTCGTGATGGGCACTCTCACTGTCTCATGCTGATGATGATTCGTGGGTGCTGTTACGTTGTGGTCTACTCCGAGAATGACAACGTTCTGAGGAAGTGATCAACTTGGTCACAGTCTCAGATACGCTTCTGACTTCAATAAAGAAATAAACAAGCAGTAAGTATCTCTCATCTTGAGATCCTGCTCAAAGAATGCAATCTAACTCGGAGCTCAATTCCATAGTCGATTTGAGGATTTTAGACGTTGATTGATCACAGACCAGCCGCTAAAAACACTTACGCTGTGTTCTTGGGGATATGGTAATGCATTGTAACATGCTCATCGATTTCTCCGAAACATAGTTGTCTTCTAATATTTGATTGTGGAGATTTCATACGTGAAAGATACAATATCTCTCCGCAGATGATCTCTCTGCCAGGCATGTTGCACGATCACAGCCGACCCTCCAACCAGTTCTGGAGGACTTCAAAGGGGGCATCTAAACCTGACGACAAACAAATTGTGGTATGGGCATTCATGTTATCACCCCAAACAGCAACTCCAGGAAACTAGGAAACTTCATTACATGCTAATACTTACTGATACCACCCTCCCACATTATCCAAGTTATGTATAGAAACTATGCGGAACTACGCACAACAAACTGTCGGTGCAAAAACGCCACAATTCAAACTGTCAGAAGAATTCATGTGACCATCAAGTTGTGTACATGGCACGTCCACACCCATTTGAACATCTACATGAAAACCAGATCCGGAACGTTCGCCTCACGATGGCAACTAGGAGCGGCGGACTGACCAGCGGTCGAAGTGTCGTGTTGTCAAGATTGCGGTGCAAACCTTCAAGTCTGGAAGAAAAGGAGTGTTGATCTGAACCAGCCTGCATAGACGTGCGGTGGGTTCTTCTAGATCGCTACACTGATTTACATCTGGTACCGTAGCAGACGAATACAGTTTATCTGCATGTCCTGTGGGCTGAACCCATCTTCCTATTTGGAGTGGAACCTGCAGAAAGACTCCGTAATTGGCGACTTTCGTGTCCAGTACTGCAATGCGATTGGTGCAAGTCCAGCTCTTCAGGAAAGTTTCTTCATGACAACTGAACATGAATTCAATGCAATGCATAGAATGTCGTGAACGGAAAGAGAAGATTTTGATGATACTAGCAGCCCATTCATGGAGCTCCAGCAGTTTGTACTTTTCGACATGCCAACACTTATTTTCCGTGTCTAGTATTATCAAAGATAAAATTAATAGCCCTATTTTAGTTTATGTGAATGGCTTGTTTGTCACAGTTGAAGAAGGTTTTGTATTGAGTTTCAGTTCTTACATCAATGCATTTAAATGAGCTCAATTGTAAAAGCAGACAATGCAATTGGAATTTAGTTTTCTTTTTTCTTTAAAAAAAATTACTTGCTTGTGTGTCCTAATGAAACGAACATAAATGCAGACAGAGATGAAAAGAAGAAAGAAGAAATATGATGTGAATGATCATATGTCAAGGGATTAAAGGTGTTGTGATTGAGATGCTGTTAGGTTTTCACCTACATAATTGAATGATAAAAGGCATTGAGAAAGTTGACAAAACACAATTAATGAGGAGAATCTGAAATTTGCAACAATACGGTTCCGCACGGAACAACTTCCAGAGAAGAAAAAACCAAATACATCAGAAGGCAAAAATCAAATTTCTTTCAGGGACTATGCCTCCAGAAACTAGCAAGGCCGCCGTAGGGGGGGTTGCCACCCCACCTTAATTCCCACATTCGTTGCAGGTATGAATTAGACTCCACACAATAACAGATGGGACATCTTTAACACTATCCACTTCAAGGCATATCTTGAACTATAGATTTTAAAATGAAGTAGATACAATTAAGTTATAGTTCGAAATAAATCCACATATAACATTAATAATATTATTATTTTTTGTCAGTGTGCATAATATCGTAGTCAAAATACTTAAATATAAATTTATAGATTTTTTTTTCTTATAAGGTTAAAGATTAATATCTACTTCAAAATTTTAAAAAATAGAATAAAATATTTTATATAAAAATATTTTATATTTTTAAAATTAATATTTTTAAAAAATAAATTAAAAAATAATAAAATAGAAATAATATGTTTTGAATTCAATATTATTTAGATATAAATTTAGAATGATAAAAATTTTAAAAATAAATCTAAAAATAATTTAAAAGACTTTGGAGGTGATAATTTGTTTAACCATAATAATAAAAATAATAAGTATTAAAAATATTATATAAATATATATTTATATACATACCATACATAATTTTAGTTTTATTAGAAAAATCAATTAAATCATTGAATTACATTAATACTTTAGAAAAATCTTTAAATATTTTTTATTAGTTTTATTTTACAAAAATTAAAAAAATATCTACACAAAATAACAATATCAATATTAATTCATCAACTAGCAATGCAATTAATAAGAACATTGATTTTATTCAACAAAATAAGTATTTTGAGCTATTTTATAATAATAAAAGAATTGATGTTAAGATAGTAAATATTAATTTAAAAAAATACTTATATATGCAATATTTTAAGTATTATAGAGAAAGAAGCATAATTTAAGAGTATCCTAATGTATAATAATAAGTATGTATATAAATATATTAATAAAAATTATGATTTATGAAAGATAATTATAATTTGATATACTAACATAATATTAATTTTTTATTTTTTATATTTATAAATATTTATAAGTTCTACAAAATTTGATAAAATTAACTAAAAATATAATTTTGAATATATTATTAAGTAGTTTATTTAATTTAGAAAATATATATTTTAAATATGCATCAATATATGAATAAAAAATTATTAAAAATTTTATAATTTACAAAAGATATTACAAGATATTTTAAACTTGCATAATAAATGTAAATTTTTATTAATATTAATTATTATATGATTCTAAATTAATACAAAGAATAATCTGATAAATGTTATAATTTCATTATGAAAGGCTTCTACATATCCTTGAGCTAGGTAAACACCCTCACAAAAAAATACATTTTTATTCAATTATCAATAAAATAATTAAAAGATAATAAATTATTTTCTTTTTATTTTTATACCATAAATAATCTTAGAAATACTTTAAAAAAATATTAAATCATTAAAAATTTTAAAATATTAATATCAAATAAGATCAAGCTATGAGATATAATAAGTTTATTGCAAGATCTTGAATGTGAATAAAGTTTTTGAATAAAATGAAAGTCAAAATCTTATTATATTGTATTAAACAACAATCAATTAAGTAGAAAGTCAAATTAAATATAAATATTATATAATAAAAACTTTAAAAGTAGTTAAATTATAAATATATATATATATATATATATATATATACACACACATATACATATTCATGTATCTATTATATAAGATAGCTTGGATAAAACATAAAAAATAAAAAATAAAAAAATAATAAAAAAAAAAAAATCTTTTGATTAGTCATAAAGAAGAAATTGTAGAAAACTTAAAGAACATGAAAATGAACATAGAAATTAGGGAATATGAGGATAAGGAAAGCAAAGAATATAAGAACCAAAGAACATGAGAACAAAGAAACTAGAGAACGTAGAAAGCAAGGAATAAGGAAATATAGGAAAATGGGAATGAAAGAACGTGGAAACATGGAAATCAAAGAACATAGGATTAGAAAAATATGGATTAACTAGGTAATAATTGGATGTGCCAAAGATTGTAATATACAATAACATAAGTTTCTTTTAGTTATATATATAATAAAATTTTCATAACAAGCTTATTTCATGTAAGCCTAGAATAGAGCTAGAAATAAAACTAAGTGTATAATCTTTGCCATAGGACTCAAAGTAGAACTATTGAAGTTAAATGTTGGCATTGAAATAATGGCCTTCTTCTTCTCAATGACTTATTCTTCTTTTATTTTTAAATGATAGTAAAAAGAGAAGAAACTACAAAGATATTAGAAGCATGGTATTTACAAGAGAGAATAAAAGAATAATGGTTTAATTATAAAAGAGTATAGGCTGTTTCAGCTTTGATTTTAATTTTACATATGAATATTCAATCTTCAATGAAAATTTCTTCTTTATATCATTTGTATTTTTGGTTTTATTTCATTACATAATAATAGTGGAGAAAAAAAAAATCTAAAGGTTTTTTGTAGTTATAGGTTGATATAATACAAATCTTGTTAGATTTATGGTTGCAAGTAGCAAGACTTGCAAAATCATTAGAATACCTATTTTGAATGATATTGTTATGGTTTTAGGATCCCTCTCTTAAGTAAATACTCTCTGATATCCTCAAAATTATTTAGTAGAAGCTTACTCCTTGTAGCAATTTACTCTCTAAGCCATCTTTATTTACAAAACTCTAAAGATTATTATTTTTATTATTTTTATTATTTATTTTTTGTTATAAGGTATGATTTTCAACATGAAAATACTGCAAATAATTAGCTATATTGAATTTATTTTGAGCTTAATATAAAAGAAAAATAAATAAAAATATTAATAACAAAAATTGTACAAATAAGAATCTTTCATTTTAAATAGATTTGTATATAATTCTTTCTATGGCATCTATAAATCTCTTAACAGTCTTTGATAAGAAAACCATAACTACTCAAATGTTAGTAAGTTAGATTCTCAATAAATTTATAGAAATTTCATAATCTTCTTTCAAAATTTCATCTTCATATCAAAATATTATCATAGCTCTATATATCTATCTTTGATACATCAACTAAGCCTTGGTTTCCAAAAATCTTCTAATTTACATAAAATGATCAGATTGTAATAAAACCTCTTCAACACCTTATTTATTTGCAAAAGATTATTTTTCTCAAAATTTAGGATCTAGTATCTTTTGATCTAACCATTTATTTTTAATTTTTTTTAAAATAAGATAATACATATTTTTTTAGTTTTAGCATAAAAAAATTGTTGGAAGATTTATTTTTAATCCTTTGGAATCTTAGAAATCCAAGTATGTAATTTAAACCCTTAATTACAAATGTCTAAGTACTATCTTCTTTACATCTCAAAAATCCAAAACTCAAATTCTACCAAAATTAGTTTATGGCTTTTGTAACTTGATAACACACACTTAAAAAAATGTAAGCTAAAAACTTATCACATTACTTCTTGCCATCAAATTGAAAAATCTCACTTTAATGTCCAATATCTCTTTTATTTTAATTTAAAATTTATCAAGCTATAGATATAAAATGTAGGTAAAAAAATTCTTTTTTATTATAGTCATAAATATTTTATTATTTTCTATACCTTCCATGTATATCTGCTTGAAAGTTAGGTTTTTTGATATTCAATGAGATGCATTAATATGATTTTAATTGGATTAAAAATAATAATAAAAAAAGAGAATGCAGTCGCAATATAAATAGTAGTCCTATGACATCAATTATGTTGTCACCTTAAGTTTGTTGGCTCAATGGTTAAGTTTTCCTATGTTCTATTGGATATGCTAATTTATATTATTTATTTGGAGCTAAAAGATTAGTTTGCAACTTTGAAGCTCCTGGTTGGTATTGGATTTTTTATATGGTAATATATGGAAAATTTTCTTTTTAAATTTTAAATTTATAGTAGTCTAGATATGGCCTTATTTAATATAAAGGTTCTATGGTGATGGTAGAGTATCTTCAAAGGTAGACGTTAATAAGAACTTTAATATTTAAGTACATGTTTGGAACTTGTAATGGTCTAAATTTAAAACTTATAATATACTTTTTTTAAAGCTTTAGAGGTTATAAATACTTAGAAGAGCCATTAAAAGTAGAGTGCATCTTTAAATATGTATGTGTATATATATATATGTATATAAAAGTGAATAAGTGAGTGCATAAGTGAAAGTAAAAGTATATTTATACTATAAGTACTAATAAAGATATTTATCTAATTAATTATAAAGACTCTTATCTAATTACATATTATAATGTAAAAATTTAATAATATTTTGTCTTTATGAAAAGAGAATCATTTGTTTATATGTAGTCACATAATTTTTTATTTAAAACCAATTTTTAAAGAAAATATTAGAGATTCATACAAGGTAAGAAAGATTGATATAATTGTAAAACACTTACATAGTATATGTTTTTTTATTTAAGAGAAATATAAATTTTTTGGTAGAATTTATTTTTTAGAGATTTGATTTGATGCATGATATATTTTTGGTTATTAATATATTTTAGATTCGAAATGTATTTTTCTTGTATTATAGAACGTCAAAATTGGTCTCAAGCTTGGCATATAAAAATTTATTGTGTAATTTGCAAAGCATTTGCTAACTTTAATAGTATTGCTCTTTGACAATAGAATGTTAGAAATATGAATATTGAATGTAAGCAATGCAAGACAAATTTATTGCTTTTAGAAAAAAAATCAATATTTTTGTAATATAATCTATTGTTTTCTATATGTTCTAAAATAAAAAAGATAGTATTATCACTACTTGAAGTAGAAACTCTACTAACAATAATGAACTAGACTTCTTCTATATTTTGTAAGGCCATTTAAAAATGAAACTTAATACTAGCATTGACATCTTTGGATGCCAATGTTGATGAATTAGTAAATTGCACTGTTTGTTTTTATTTTTTGTAAGTTTATAGAATACATATTAGGCGATTTCTTAGCTTACTTAAAATTCTAGCAACATGTAACATTATTGTATTTAAGCATCAACATATAACTTAGAGATGCCACTTTTAATTACAATCAAAATTTTATACAATGGATTTTAAATATTAGAAATGATATTATAAATACTATCTAAAAGAAGAAGGTATAAAACTTCATTGGATTCCCATTATTCTTCACTTGCAATTTTTTCGAAATTAAAAAATACTAATAAGACTTATTATAGTTAAAGCGTCC